AGTTGTTCTCTGCTCCTCTGTAGTAACTTTTGTTAAAGGTGCAGTGATTTTGACATTGAAGTTGTCTTATAAAGTGGCATGAAGTAAAAAAAAGGCTGCCTTTAACTCCCTCACACACTTTTCTTCTTGGATCTCTCACTCGTGATTGTCTAGATTTGGGTAAAATGCCAAATATTTATAATTTGACAGTAATATGAAGATGTCTTGCAGTCGGACACACTTGTATTCTGTCCTTTGAAATGTGCTGCAGTGAGACAAAACAGCAGGTGGAAGGTCTTTTTGTCTTCTGAATCCAAATAAATGGAGTAGTAATTTTTTTTAAACAGTCGTTAATGCTTGTTTGCACATCAAACCCATGAGAAAAATGCTCAAAGTGTCCAGAGAATTACAGGGAAACGTGTTTAAAAAGATGCAAAAGGAATTTAAATTGAAGTTGCAGCCACACAAACTTTTTTCCACTCAGTTGAAGTATGATATTAAATAAGGGCTGCAACTAAAGATTATTTCATCACGATTAAACTGCTGGTTATTGTAAAAGTGTGGTCTGTGAAATGACACATTTAGTGTAGAGAAATATTCAAACACGTCCATCACAATTGCTAAAAGCCCAAGGTAATGTCTTCATATCGCTTGTTTCGTGAGTTAAGAAATCACATGTACCATCACACATCCTACAGAGAGCTATAGGTTGTATTTTTACTTGAGAAGTGATTAATGTGGTGCAGTGGGTTAGTGCGCTGATCTTCGAATCAGAGGAGAGCAAGTTTGAGTCCCACTGCAGTCAGCATGTCGTTGTGTCCCTGAGACACTTCACCCCAAATTGCTCCTGTGGACATGTAATGTAATTAATTAATTTTTATAATAGATGCAGATACATAGCCTGTAAAACAATCAATTGATTAATATTAAAACAGCAGGCGGCATGTGCTACAACACACTGTGAGACTGTTTTACTTTTAATCTTCTTATGGAAGATTTAAGGGAGCACTTAGGTTTGGTTTTACAAATAATACAAACTGAATTTCTCAACAATGAAGGCCATACAGAATGTGTATTAAGAGATTAAGCTTTGACAACAACTGAGAGCCTGTTGATTATGAAATTGTCGACCCTAAATCTCCTGATAATTCATCCAGGAATGAACGAGAGCTAAATATAGGCTCCATGTGACAGCAGAGAGGGTGAGATGAAGAGGGATTACAGTGCAGAACAATGTGTCAATTGTTTTTGTATTTTTACCTCCTTTTCTATTTCTTACAGACAGAACAAAGCTGACATAAGAGCAGAAGACATGGCTGTGGTTGTGAGTATTTCCACTTTGAGTTTACTTACTTATTTTGCCCTAAGAAAACGAATCAATGCTAATCATTTACTGAGCTAAACTTGAATAATGCTCCAAAACAAAAATCTATTAATCTCCCTGCAACATAGGCTCAGCTGCGGCTCAACATTTCTCAACACCAAAGGCCATTGTCGTGGATGCCGTCCACAGCTAGTGTAGCCTTAGCTGCTAATCTCTACTAGTAGCCATTACCATGTATTTACAGGCTTTACTGGAGCCTTGTGAGGGAGATTAATAAACACTGAGGTCTATTGATTGTTGTTCCTGCAACACTGGTGGAAAGGCATTTGTGTCTCACGTGGATAAGATGTGTTTTAAACCTCACACGGTACAACTAAAGTCTTGTGAGGGAATTATATAACGTGTTTGGCTTCTATCCAGAATGAAATGCAACGATAGATACAAGCTTAGATATCCAGATTTACTAGCAGTCAGTGGGACAATAAGGTATCCCCATGAGTGAGTATCCATAATAGCAGGGCCCTGGATTTGGCCCAGCATCCATTATTAATGTTATTAATAACACCTGTGCTTCTCCTGCTATGATCAACTATCCACTGTGGAAATAACTTATTCAGGTGTGGACAAAAGTGCAACAGCCTGCTGAGCAGAGACAATTGTTGTCATTATTGATAGTCATGGGATTCGGTGCTCTGACATCAATGATCTGTTAGTTTGCAAAGACAGAAATAGTTTTGTTCCACTCCTTACTATGAAGCACTTATATTGCAACTTGCCTCCGTACTTTTTTGGTGAATATCAAGTTCTGATATGGCTGTGTGGGTGTGTGTGTTTGTGTGTGTGTTTGAAGCAACCACATCAAAGAGGTTCAAATCAATTCAACAAATAACAATATATATCATTAAGGTCATGAAGTGCAAAACCAAGCTGTATAGAAGCCAGTCAAATAAACACAATGAAAACTGGAATAGATAGTCTTACTAATGTGAACAAAATCAACAAAAAATGACCTAGCTAATTTCTGTAAAAGTTTTTAACAAATTAATGTCAACATTTTTTTTCTTTCTTATCACTTGTTTTTTTTGTGTCATTTACTAGAAAAAAATGGGCTTTTATTCAACTCATCTTTACTGTTCGAACATATTAAGTAAAAAGTATTTACAACAATACTTTTGCATCTCTTTTCAGAGTGGAACTTACCGTATGGTGTCGGAGGAGGAGCAGGCTCTCCGGGCCAAGTTGGAGCGTCTCACCGTCAAGGACCACGGGCCGGTGTTCGGACCCTGCGCCAGCCTGCCGGACCACACCAAGCAGAAGGTGAACACTCCAAAACATCAGGACACAAAACAATAAGATTAAGAGTTTAATCACTATACTGCAATATATTACTCATGATGTATTGAACTATATCTAATAATAGGATGAACACAGAAAGCAAAGCTCGTTCTTTTCAAAGTGAGAGATTAGTTTATCATGTAACATCAGCAAACATAGGCAGTTGAAAAGAGCCAGGCTATGCGTTTACGCTTACATTTATTCGCAAAATGTTTTATTCCTGTAGTAACAGTTTTTCACCTGTACAAACCCATTTGCATTACTTTCCCTCATGTTAATCTAAACTAAACTACAGTTGATTTGATTTTAAATGTTGTACAATTAAAATAATGCTGCATTTTCAACAGCAC